TACTAGTCAATCAGTTATCTAAATTGAAAACCCTTCCATCGAAAGTCACATGCCGACTCTTTCAATTAGATGCTGGTTTCAACCAAAGGTACATTTTTAAGCTTCTGCTTCATTAGCGCATCATGTGAAGAGGTGGATGTTTATCTGTTTTTGTGTTTCCATGGTAAGCCTGGCAACATTTTGTTTGGACTGGATGGACAAGTGAAGATTGGGGACTTTGGCCCGGTCACTAAAGACAATGATGGCTTTGATTTGATAGAGAGAACAGTTAACAGAGGAACCCCAACTTACATGGCCCCTGAACAAGTGAGTTTGTTTTTTTTTCTTCTGTGTGTGTGTGAATAGAGAGCAACATGCAACATGATGGTCTACGCTGGCAATAACTTCTAACTATTCATGATTTTTTTTAACCAAATACAGTATGTTGTGGCCCTGGCACGGAACACCTGCCTATGTTCAAACAGAGACTATTTGAGTTGTAGACCACATATCCAAGGCTTACATGCTCTGCCGGAGCAGCTCCACGTCTTCGGCTGCTCTGAATGATGTTCCTTTGAGTAACATCCCAGCTTTGTTTAAGAAGTAATACAGTTATTACATACAGCTTCTGGGGGTCATGAAGAATGAAGCAAAGTGAATTCTCTTTAATCACCACAGTTAAGAGAAGAAGAGAACCACTGCAGCTTTCACGGCACATATATTGTTTTCTTGTTTTATGACAGAAGAGCAAGAGCATTTATGACCGAAAAGTGGACATATTTGCTTTGGGGCTGATATACTTTGAACTCCTTTGGAAACTCTCTAGTGGCCATGAAAGAGCAAAGGTGAGTCTGTTTACTTTTCACAAATGATTTGCCACACCAATATTATCATGTTACCTCCACCCATGTCTACAATATACAAACAGGAAACTGGCTACACCAATAGTCAGTTTCATCTTGGCTTAGTATGTGTCAAAACAAATATATGCAAAGTTAAAAGCATACCTGTATTTCTTTTTTAAGTATGAATTTATTTCAGACTGATATGTTCTTTCATCCTTATATTGATGCAGATTTGGTATGATGTCAGGAGTCAGAAATTCCCCAGTGAGTTTTCACGGACTTTTCTCCAAGAGGTATATTACTGTAATCCTAACTGATCTACTCGCCTCATAAAACAGTATTTCCCACAAGGAGCCCGTTAGTCATGATGAAGGTTGACATACAGGGATTATAACAACAGTTGTACATCTCTAAAGCCTCAAAACATGAAGAGTCAAAACCACACTGTTGCTGTGTGCATGTGAATAATGTCCTGTCAAGTAGCTCAGCTATCAGTCTCAGTTTGAAAAGATTTCCATTGGTCCGTTGCCTGAGCAAAGTCCATGTGTGGGAAATACTGTGGAGTGGAGCTTAAGAAATGTCTGTATTAATGTTCATACAGAGATCTCAGTGGCTGTTTTTATTGTTCTTTGTAGAGCCAAATGATTCAGTCGATGCTGTGTGAGAAGCCAGAGGACCGACCTGAAGCAAGTGCACTAAAGGCAGAGATGGAACTTTGGGCTCAGAAACAAAAAATGCGTAAAATAAGCAGTGTCTGAGTATCACAAGAGCGTGTGAAGAGTCACAGGAGTGTGTGGCAAAGGATGGCAGTTTGTAGTTTTTGTCCTCCATGATTTTGTCCTCCACCAAAGCTAATTAAGGTTCTGTCCCTTTTCCCCTGTTGGATCTTAGTTTTTTGCACCTCTTCTTTGTTTATTTCTTAGTAGTCTTTCTACTCGGTTATATGGTACACAACTTCTGAAATCCTTTACTTCTCAAACTCAAATAGCTACTTTACTGTATGTGAACTTTGGCTCCAAATATAAAGTCTGTGTAACTCAGCTTCTAATGTTAAGTTTCTCATTGACGTCATCAGTTTAGCCCCTTTGATGTGCGTTCCCGTCCCGTTCTATACGTACTACGTAAGACGCAGTGGTTGCTATTGGATACCAAAAAGGGAATTAACACATGCTAACTTTGACCTCGAACACTTGCTATAACAATATGTAGCCTATATATATAATAGGTGTTATGCCCAATCATCTTAATTAGATGCCAATGGTAATTGTTAAACTCTGTTTTACTAAGAGTTTTGTTGTACCCGGTACTTTTCATTTAGCTTCAGTAATAAAGTTCAGTAGGGCTAGAGGCGTGGCTTTGCGCATTAGGTTTATGGACAGTAGGGACATGTCCCTACCAGTATTTTGGGAGGACAGAAATGTCCCTACCAAAATTTGAACAAACATGTGCTCAAAATAATGTGCCTGACTGACTGACTGAAAGGGAGCACATTTCATACAAATGTCATAGTGTGCTGATAAGGGTGCGTTAAACGTTAAAGTTCGAAGCTTAAAACAATCTAATATGTTGTAATAAAAAAAAGCCACAAAACAAATCAGTTCTCCAGTTACTTTGAAATACAATGGCTAGCTGGTGGTTCCCTGCACAGACATCTTTCTCCACACTCCACGCTGCCTCAGATTCACTTGTCTGCTAAATGTCTATAAAACAAACATTTGGACTGTGTGACAAGAGCATCAGATATGTTATAAGCTATTCATTAAATGCAGAATGAATAGTCCAATGTTAATGTAACACATATAAACAACACAGCCGCTTAACAATACACCATTTACTGGCCTCACTCTCGCATCGGACCTCCTTCCGGTTTTCGGAGTGCCGATAGTGTCTTCAGTATAGGCTGCGGCTGCCCTCTATTGGACCAAATAAATATCGCCCCGAGTCTGAATCACCAGCAGGTAAGTTTTAGAACAAATAACCAAAAATAATAAAATCCCAAAGGAGAGGGGTACTATGAACAAAACAAGGGGTCCTGGGCACCACATTCTTGCACCACAAATATCATGGGGGCCACACCCTCCCCTACTTACAAAAATAAACATACTCTATGTATTTTTCCTCTCATTTGTTTTAGGCTACATGCATTTATAATGGCTATACTTGAACATAAGCTGACCCGTACCTGGGATATATATCCAAAACACTTTCCAGTGGACAGGGGTGGAGTGTCTTGTACGAATGTGATGGCGCTCTGACTGGTTACAGTGGTCTCATGTTGGGCACATT